ATCTTTACGGTCTTTCTTAGGATAATTTATCTTTGAATGATAATATGATATGACCATTGCAAAAAGACCCACAATATTTGAAGAGCAACAATCAAGAGTGAGTGTGAGATCACATGTTTATAGTTATGACTATGCTCCCCTAGTCAAACTTTTGAAATATTGGATCCCTAATGCTATTCTTTTGGACTAGTTTCTTTTGGGGATAAGAGTGGTATAAGGAGGTAGAATTAGAACAATAGTACGTGAGACTTACTTTATATCTTGTTTGTTTAATATATTACAATCAATTTTATTTTTTAAGTCGTAATACATATACAGTATGAACAGTAGTCATCATGTCTTATAGATGATATTAATAAATACCACCTATAAGATGGTATTATTTTCATGAGTTAAATGAAAGAACGATACAAACATGCAAATTAACACAAAATGCCCTCATTTGTTAAGAGTTTACTTATAAAAAATTTATTTTGAATTTTTTTCTTGTATTATATTTAAACGTATGGTGTCATCAATTTTTTTTTAATTATTTTAAATTTTTTCCTTATATTATGTTTAAGAGTACGCTGTTACCAGTTTTTTTTAAAAAAATTATTTTGAATATTTTTTTATATTATGTTTTAGCGTACAGTATTACCGATTTTTGTTTTAATTTTTTTCTTAAAATTATTTTGAATTTTTTCCTTATATTATGTTTAAGCGTACGATGTTACCGTTTTTTTTATTTTTTTTAAAAATTATTTTAAAATTTTTCCTTGTATAAATGATTAAGGATAAAAAAGAATGGATGATGTTAAGGATAAAATGATATATTTGTCATATAAGATGTGATAGAATAAATGGTTGTTTGTGAGAGCCACCATAGTACCTATTGAACAAACAAATCTGGAATGAGATTGAAATAATTTTTATTACTGATACTAATATCCCTTGGTATTAGAAATGTATTTTACATTTCTAATACCACCCATAAATAATAGTCGAAACAAACATGTCTTTGTTTGTAGGGGTGTTCAAAATTTTGATTGGTCGTAATTTTTTACCCTACTTCATCCTACCTGACTCTACCCTACCCTATTCTACTGAATGGCTAGCCGCAAAAATCAGGTAAGAATACAGAAGAGTTTTTGGTATTCCGATTAAATTGGGTAGGAATGTGAAATATCATTAATTTTTGCATTTCTACCTTACTCTATCTGCAAAAAAACTATTTAACTTTTTAATATTTTTTTTAGTAATTATAAGAATATTTGTGTGGTATAATTTATATTATAGCACTATTATTATTATGGACGTTTGAGTTGAGAAAACATAAACTTGTTTTTTGTGTATGTTGCATGATTTGTGGTGAATTGGTGATCTATTGGAACAATTATGATTTTAATGCGTTTCATATGATTTAAACTTAAAATAATTGTTATTACATTTGTCTAACAATTATGATGAATTTATGTTCATGTTTTCTTGTGTTTTATTGTAATTATTGTTATAGTTGTTTTAGATTTTAGTGTTATTGATTTATTATATTGTTAAATTGGTGTATGTTATTTAATTGAATTATTAAAATGATCCAAAAATTAATAGCTACAAAAGTATTTACTCAACTTCCTACCCGATTAATCGGGAAGAAAGTCGGGTAGAAATATCACACCTGATCAGGTAGGGTAAACTAAAAATAAATTCTTCTACAAAATATTGGTTAGAAAGACAAAAGACTATATTTCTTACCCGTAGAGTAGGGTGAACAACCCTATTTGTTTGTTTGGTTTAACGCGGTATTCATGTTAATTTACGCATATTTTTATTAATTTTTTATCCAATTCGATTAAAAGCTAACAATTCATATTAAAATTAAAATATTCATAAAAAATAAATATTTCATAATTTAATACTAAAAAAATCTTCTGAGATTCGAACTTTCGCGTCTAGGTTTAAAGTTTTGTATTCACGTATCATGCGTGAACACATTACCGCGGCAGTCATGGCCCTTAGGTTTCAAAAATTACATTTTCATCCTTTAATTTGCATTTAACTTAAGAATAAGTTATTTAATATATAACCCCTCAAGTTTTACATCCTTTGTCTTCGACCCCGTGACTAGTCAATTTGTATTCTTCTTTTTCTTTTAACCCCCAAGTAAATCTTCAAATGTAACTGTTATACCACGTCAATAATGTTATGCAGTGTAACAATCCAATACAAAAACTAAAAAATGAGATAAAATAAACTTCACTTCTTTGAATGAAAGTGGTTAAAACTTGAGCTGTGTGGGGCTCACTTGACAGTTATACCATGTAGCATTATGAACGCGGTTACGTTCAAAATTTTTCTAATCCAAAAAAAAAACTTTACAAATTCGAACAAAAGCCCCGATGCATAAGAGTTTTATGAAAGTTGGCCCAACGTGGTGTAAATGTTGAATACACTAATCACCATTATCTTTATCTTTCACATTTAATGCTTGACCAGTGATCACATTGCAGTGTTACAAATGGGTGGTGCGAAATTTAAACAAATCATCAATCCCCCACTAAAATACCCTAAACCAAAAAGAAAAGAGGGATAAAAAAAAACTAACGTAAACCTTTTTATTTGTTTATATTTTCATTAGGTAATTCATTTTTTAATAGGTAAAAATTATAAATAGACCCTAAATTTTGTCTCTTTTTTTAATTTAATTTCTGAACTTTCAATTATTCTAATTTAAGTCTCTTAACTATCAATTTTGTCTTAATTAAATTCTTTCATCAATTTTTATCGTTAGATCATTTGGAAACTAGTCTAATTTGATTCATTTCAACATTGACCTAACAGTGAAAATAGATGAAAAGACTTAATCGAGATAAAATTTATAATTAAGACAATTAAAAGTTCAGAGACTAAAGAAAAAATTTTGGAATCAATTATAATTTTTATCCTTTTTTAATTGAAGCATATATATATATATATATATATATATATATATATTTTTTTTTTGCTTATGTCACCACTCCAATGATGTTCATCAGATCATGAGAGGGCTTAGAAACCAACTTATTGCATATCATAATAAATAAGACCATTATGAAGTCTTGTTCTTGCCATAAGAGGTAAGGCCCCTCCTATCGTGTTTTTTCTATACGAATTTCTTTTTTTCAAAAAAAGTAAGAAAAAAAAAATTGGAAAAACTGAAAAATACTTGGGCTACTTCACATAGAACAAAATAGATATCCCCCGGGAGGTTCTCGTGTCTATTACAATATACTCTTTTTTTTTTATTCCAACTTTTTCAATAAATCACTATAGTATTATCTCACTTACGTATCGTATTAATATTAGATTGTGTGCAATATCGTTTCTCCACACAAAAAGTTAAATTTATGGACAACAGACCAAACGGACTACACTTCGTAAGATATTCGAACTCCTGATTTACCCTTGATAAAATGTTTATCAAATGACTAAGTTACTATTAAACTAATTCCATAGGGTTAAAGTTAGAATATAATCTTCTTCTTTTTTTCCTCAAAAGTTAGAATATAGTTGCTTCTACCACAAAAAAAAAAAAAAAAAAGATTACTTGTCCTCTTTAATGTAATTTAATGTGGTTGGGTGTGTTGGGAGGAAAGAGCGGGAGTTGGAACAACTAATCATACTTAAACAACATTGATGTTAAGTTGGATGAGAAAACCTCTAGAGTGAAAATTTAACTTAATCTATCGACCTAATAAAGTGGTTTCATTATATTTATTAAATTAATACCAAGTTTTATCAGGTACACAATTAATTCAATAATTATAATAAATTATATCAATAAATTAAATCTCAATAATATTATTGTAAAAATTAATATGTAAAGTTGCCAACTTTGCTAGTGGCCAGATGGCTTGGGTGTGAAAGAATAAAGTTTTAGAGTAATGCTAGGGATCTCAAATCAATAGGAATCTTTGAATCGGTAGATCTTATTAATTTTTTTAATGGAACTCATTCATCTAAAGATCCCTATTCATTTTGGTTCTTATTTTGAGATTCATATTCATTCCTTAGATTCAATTTATTGAATTATATCACAATTAAATTAAATATTGATACATCTAAATACAAAATGTGTAAACTAGAATATAATAAATTCAAATTCAACTAATGGAAAATTTTAATGAATGACACTATTCATATTACTGTTACATTTTCATTTAATTTTAGGATTAATTATATTGGATGTCCATAAAGTATTAGATTCGTTTCATTTTGGTCTCTAATAATTTAATTGCATAATTTTAGTCACTGAAATATTGAATATATTTATATGTGATCCCTTAAAGCAAACAGTATACAGATTGCTAATAATTTTTTATTATAAATTTGTCACGTAATACCTAAATATGGGTAAAAAAAATTTGGATTACTCTTAATCAAATTTTTACTCAAATTTTAGTCGAAGAGCTACCCAAATTTCATAATTTTGGTCACAGATTTTGACCAAAAACTACCCATATTTTATATTTTTTGTCAAGAGTTACCAAAATTATTTTTTTATATATATTTAGGTGTCATGAAACAAGTTTGTGATAAAAAAAAATTATTAAATATTTGAATGTTATTTGTTTGAGTGACCACATAAAAACATATGCAATACTTCAGGGATGAAAATGATATAATTAAAATATTGAGGACTAAAATAAAATAAATTCTATTATTTGGGGACCTATAGTGTAATTAATCTTTAATTTTATTCGATAATAAAATTTACTGTTTGCATTCATTAGTACGACAAACAGAGTAGATTATCCTAGTAAGATAACAGATTTAGGAACCAGAAGAACATTACCATTTTGCCCTCATCAGGGTAAGTTTTAATTAATTTGATAATTTTTTAGCATTTTCCATAAATTAATTGTAATCCTTTCCTTACGTTGGTGGGCTGCTTCTGCTTCTCCGTAAGTTTTGAGGGCTTTCCTCTCACATATAAAAGCAGTGCTTTGATTTCGATTCTGTTGAGACTTCAGAGACAGTACGGGGAGAGAGAGAGAGAGAGAGAGGGAAAATAGCAAAACGGAAGAGAGAGTACGTGAATGAAAACCGTTCTGTTCCCCAGAGGAACACCTCTCTAAGCCCATAAAGAGTTATTTAAAGGTACTGCTGTGAGAGAGAAAAAGAGGAAATAAGAAAAAACCATGTTTCAGAGGAAAAAACTAAGGCATACCCATGGAAGATCCGATCTATTTGATGGGCTACATGATGATATTGTGATTTGCATTCTCTGCAAGCTCAGTTCCACCGCTCGTTGCACTTCAGATTTCATCAATATTCTCTTCACGTATGTATATATTTATGTATTACGTGTGTTTATATATTTGTATATGTGTATTCAAAGATCTTCGGTTGTTGGTTTTCTGGGAATTAATCTTTCATTTTCTGCAAACAGTTGCAAAAGACTAAACCGTTTGGCTCTTCACCCTCTGGTCCTTTCCAAAGCTGGCCGGAAAACACTCACCGTCAGAGCCACAAACTGGTCCGACCATGCTCACCGGTTTTTCAAACAGTGCGTTAACGCCGGCAACGTCGAAGCGTCTTATACACTCGGCATGGTTAGTACATCCGAACAAATGCAACGTTCACGGTTCACCTAGACGTACATGTGTTACACAAATTGACCAAAGATTCTGTTCTGAGATTACATTTTTCAATTCAATCGTTTCAGATCCGATTTTATTGCCTGCAAAACCGAGGAAGTGGAGCGTCTCTAATGGCAAGGGCAGCAATTAAATCACACGCGCCGGCACTGTACTCACTGGCTTTGATTCAATTCAACGGCAGTGGTGGCTCGAAAACCGAGAAGGACCTCCGTGCCGGCGTAGCACTCTGCGCCAGAGCCGCCTTCCTCGGCCACATCGACGCCCTTCGCGAGCTTGGGCACTGTCTCCAAGACGGGTACGGCGTCTGCCAAAACATCACCGAGGGGCGCCGGCTCCTCATCCAAGCCAACGCGCGCGAGCTCGCGTTAGTCCTACGCTCCTTCATGCCATTGTCCTCCAATCCTCTCACGTGGCAGTCTCTGCACCAGCGCAGTAATGGGTCCGTATATGGTCCGGGTATGTATATTGGGTGTGGGTTGTGGAGTGAGTTTGGGTGTAACGTGCCGGAACGTGAAGTTCATCCAGCGAATCGTTTCTTAGTGGAGTGGTTCGGGTTGAGGGGTGGAGGTCCGGGTCATGGGCTGAGGATGTGTTCTCACTCAGGCTGTGGAAGGCCCGAGTTCCGGAGGAATGAATTCAGGAGGTGTTCAGGTTGTGGGAAGGTGAACTATTGCTCACGTGGGTGTCAGGCCCACGATTGGAAGATACGCCACAAGGTGGAGTGCGCACCCATGGAGCAATGGATGGATCTGGATGCTATTGATAATGATCAGGAAGAGGAAGGAGAAGGAGAAGGAGAAGCAGAAGATGGTGATCGTACGGTGGAAGTTGAAGATGATGGGGACGGTGGGCCCGGACGATGAAACAGAATGAAATTTCATTCAAGTCATTTAAATTTTAATTGGTCAGTTTTTAAAAAAGGTTTTGTGTGTGTTATTTTTTTTGTCTACATTTTGTACTATTTGAAAGAATAGACAGGTTTGATTTTGATAATACGGCAGAAACCATCTCTCATTCATTTTTTTTGTTTAGTGTAAATCGATTTGTTTTATGTGTTGTATATAGCCAACCAGAACAGGAGTAGTTGCAAAGATTGAATCCAGATGTCAGTGTCAATCAGTGCTGCTTCTTGTATGCATATGGATTGGGATTTGGTAATTATACATACTATTCTTAAACTCTGTACGAAATAGATTTCGATTTAAAATTAATAACGATTACGTGTATTTAAGTCAACTTATGCATATTTTAGATTTATTATCTCTTTGGTTTGACCAAAAATAACACATTCACGACGAAATTAAGATATTTTTTAGGGATAAATTTCTCGCACCCTGACCTTAATGGGCTACTAAAATTTGAACTCATTAGGTTAAATTCATAATTTGTTCTGTTATTCCTTAGGATTAAGTTTCTTTATTATTATACCCATTCAAATTTGCTACAACATGGATTTGATTATTATATTTAAATGAATTTTGATACAATAAGTCTTAAACATCGCATGAACTAAGTCAGTGGTGGTTAATCCATTGTGTATTAAAATCAAATCAAATGACAATTAGAGAAATGCTCTGGCCATTTCCTGGACCTGGATGCCCATCTCCTTTTTTATCTAAACAAGGATAGATTGGAATCGATACTCAAAAATTATGTACAAGTGGGGAGGCTTTTTGTCCTCAAACTGAAGAGGGTTAGCAGAAAGACAAAGGTGGTTGAAATGCTGTTGTACATTGAAAAGTTCCATTCTTGTCACTTGTCACTACCAGGTCCTGCATACGTCATCCCGTTCGTGTACATAGTTACAAAAAAAAGTGAGATAAAAAGAGAGTGAAAGATGTGAGAATAATAAGAGATAAGAATAATTAATTATGTAGATGATAGAATTCAATTGAATAAAAAAATTATGTACGGTTGAGAGGTTATGAACAATTAAAATAAAATAAAAAAACAAGGAAAGTACGGGTATTGCCGACGCGGAGCAGATAGCAATACTTTTTAATAAATTATTGACAATGGACAGATACGTGATTTAATATTAAAGAATTAAATAAAAATGTATTAAACTTTTTAAATACTTAATTTATATACAAAGAGATTAAGGGACTATTTGATTTGTATCTCTAAAATAATTTTTTGTTCTCAAAATTTTAAAAATAAGAAAGATTTTTTTTGGTTAACTTTCTTTTTCTCTAATTTTTTGAAAATTTTAGAAATTGTGATGTGATTTTAAATAACAATATTTTGTTGTTCCTGGAGTTTTTTGAAGCAAAATAAAAACATGAAAAACAGGAGCATCTCCGAATTAATGAGATTTTCACTTCAAGCCTTTTTAGCAACAAAAAACAATATCTATTATAAAACTTTTTTTTTTAGCTTGTCTCTATCCTCAACCCCCTTTCTTTCTCAGACTTTTTCTTTATTTTGGTGAAGAAATTAGACGAGAACAGACGCACACAACGTCTTCTCCGGTAATTAAAAATCTTCTTCGTCAATTGAGGACTCTTTGATGACTGAGATCTTCAGATCAATGATTTTTTTTTTAAGATCTTAGTATTTTTTTAGATATGAGTTTTATTTTTTTCAAATCTGTGTCTTCTCTGGCAAATGGGTTCATCGTTTTCTCTGTCTACTGGGGGCTATCCGACGACTGAGAACTTCAAATCTAGGGATTTTTTTTCAAAGCTAAGTATTTTTTCATATTTGAGTTTTAATTTTTTTAGATCTAAGTCTTCTCCGGTGAAAGAATTATTTTCTGACAACTGGGTTTACCTTCTTCGTTGTGTACCAGAGGCTGTGTATGTTTGATATTGGATTTTGGGTGTTGAATTTGGGATTTGTGTTCGTCTTCTCTGTCATGTACCAGTTCAGTCAATGGCTACTCCGACTACCAGTTCTGTCGATGAGTTCGTCTACTCCGGTGAAGCTCTAGCAATGCAATTCAATTGCTAGATTTTTTACTTTTTTTTGTATTTTATCAAGTTTATTATATTAAAATATTATTGGCCCTCAGTTTACATCTCTTGTCATGTGCATGTCCAAATAGATTTTCTGTTTTTTGTTCTGCATAACTGTTTTTGGAAATATATAACCAAACAAGTTTTGCGTTACAAAAAAATACTAAAAACAGTTTTCAGAATTTTTTCCTAAAAACAATTTTAAGATACTTTTTTCTGAGATGCAAACCAAATTCTCATTTTTCACTCCCTTTTTAATTTTGGAAAGTCACATCGCACTCTCCATTAAATTTTTAAAAAAATTGGAATCCAATCTAAAATCAATATTTGTTTTTTATATAATATTCAATTTTAAGGTTTTCAATTACAATTTTGTACTCAATTTTCTTATACTGAGCACATTGCTATCTTTTTATTTGATTCAGGGCACATAATAAAAATTTCACTTTTTCAGGGTTTAAATTAAGAATATAAACAAATTTTGAGGTGCAAAATGTCATTTTTGCTTTTAAACAGATGTTTGGATCCGTGTATACAAGAGCGAGAGAACATTAACCCGGAATAACGGACATCAACATTCACGGTAGAGACAAATAATGCAAGCAAATGGCGNCCGTGTATACAAGAGCGAGAGAACATTAACCCGGAATAACGGACATCAACATTCACGGTAGAGACAAATAATGCAAGCAAATGGCGGAAAACTCCATTGAAA